CTCTCTCTCTCTCTCTCTCTCTCCCCCCCTCCCTCCCTTCCTCCCTCCCCTCCTCTCTCTTTTTCTCTCTTCTCCTGCAACAATAAACGATGCCGAGTGTTCATTATCAACGAACTATGGGTTCCACAGACTTCTATTACTACACTAGACCGCTAATTCCCCACTTTTCCTTCTGTAAAAGTATTGTCTGCGCGCAGTGAATGCGCAGAATAAGATCGTCACATACAGAAAAGAGATGCCAATAAGTCAGCTGATCTAGCGTTTCTGCGATTAGTTTTAAAGTATATAGAAAGTATGCGCAGTATACAAATATACTTATTCTGCACACGTAGTACATACATTTTGACAACGATTAAAGGGATGAGTTAGCAGTCTAGTGTCATAATAGAAGTCTGTGGTGAGATCTTCCACACGTCTTCGCAGAGAAGCTTGAAAGAGGCAAGACGAGTCGCAGACTCGTTAGGCTTCCTGAGGCGCCGATAGCAATTGGGGAGGGGCGCCTATATAAATGATACCACTCTCACTACTTGTCGACCAGTTCTCAGAGTGCGTTGCTCCCACGTGCTTTCTACTCAGTGTTGCTCTATTTTCGTTTCTTTCGTTTCTTTCTCTTCCACGCCTTCTCTCGAAACGCGCAAAAGATCGAAATCGAGATCTTTCCCAACAACTAAGCCAAAATTCTGCAACAATGAGCACCAACATTCTCGTCAGGATTTATGGGCCGAAACTCTTGCACGCCGCGATGACCGAGCAAAAATCTTGGGTCACTGTCAACAGGTGTCTTAGGTTTGTAGAGACCAAGATTATTAGGATGCGATCTTCAGATTTTTAAGCGACTAATTAAGATGGAAAATCTTCATACTGTTTACTAATATGCATTTATTAAATCTTCAATCGTATATTATTCAAAACGTAACGGATATGTATATTTTGGAAAAAGAAATACTATATAAAAGTAGTGTGTGCAGTTTGAAACAGATTCACCATTATAGTCTTTCAATGTCTTTCAATAATTTTAATATATAATCCTTCGAAATTATAACTCTTAATTGTAACCTTATAATAACGATCATTATATTTACATGGAATCACATGATGTTCGATTTCTTAAATGATAAGCATGCATGCATGCATGCATGTACATGTATGCTGTTAAGCAGGGAGCACACAGAAAAACGTAAGACATAATCATTAAGGAAATCGTAACATTGGATTCGCTACTGGCCTTACGGTCTCTACTGTGATTGGCCAATTCACTTACTGCTTGCGTGTTACGGCCTTACGTTCTTGTATGTGTCATGGGCTTTATGCTTGCTTTGATGCATACAGTCTGACATTTGACAAATAACTATGAAATTAGCAATTGTTTCTTTTGATTAGTGCATGCAAAGAAATAAATTATGAAGTAATCCATAATAAATATAAAAATCATATATATATGCAGCATGCAGTATTCAATGCGTGAACGAATTCTAGCATATATCAAAACTGGCATGACTGTAGGCATGTTATCTTTCAAAAAATCGAGTATCGTGCGATTCCATGTTTATATATTTTTTAAAATAATTTCTAAATATATTTTTATACAACGTTTTGGAATATTCTTCTGTCTTTCATTTCTGAAGTTTATACTTTCAAATTGAAATTCTTGTTGAACTGATATCAAAAAGTGCTTAGCTACATACTTCAATTGATATTTTAACTTAATTCTTGTTCGACATTTAAGTATTTTTTTGCTATATTTTTATGGCTCTTCAAATACTCAAAAATGTTTCTTATAAATCGTAACCGTACAACCAACGCACTAAATCATTAGATGTTTGAAATAAGAGATAAAATGTTTCTAGTATTAAAATGATGTATGTACAACAGTGCGCAATCGTAAAGCTATAATTTACTTTAGATAATAGCTGCTTTAAATAGTAGCATGAAAGACAGAAAAAGCTAATATTAACAGCGTTACACTTAATAACCTGATATTGTCATCATTGCGGCACATTATTAGTATATGATTGCTGTTAAAACAGCAGTTACCGCAATGGACGATTTTATGAAATTAATGATTCCGTGATTAATGAAATATGGCCAAAATTAAGATCAGTAGTTGCAAAGCTTTCGCTTTATTTTAAAACATATTTCTGACGAATACGAGTAAAAGAATATGATTTAACGTTAATTTAATATATAATAAAGTATGTTTGTTTATATATTATAATTTGTTATAACCAGGATATTAATCTAAGTAAAATAAAAGAAATATGTAGAAATTGTATAGATAATAAAAATTATCTGACGAAGACAACAACGTGAATAATAAATAAAAAAAAACTTTTGATTAACGCAATCATTAAAATAACATTAAATTAGAATTAATATGTGTGATGATAAGAGGTATAAATTTAATATAACAGAATGAAAGAAAAAGGGCTACGAGCCTAAGAGTTAGTTGTTAGAAATAGAAATTTTTTTAAAAATCAGGATAAATATGTCATTTAGTCAGAATATAAAACTTTAATTTGCCGGTAATAAACAATAGAACACAAACAAACGTTTCGATCCCTGTTGGATCATTATCAATGTTAATACACAAAAATAGAACGGTGAAAATATTACAAAGTTAAAATATATAAAAATTACAATTCGCTCTCAATCGCAAGCAATAATATATTATAATAAAACTCACAGTTGTTTAATATAATAAAATTCGCTCAGTATGAGTTGAAAGTTATGCGAACGTTGTAATTGGTAACAATGTGTGCTTCCGATTACTAGTTGTAAATTAAAATAATTCGTATCTTGTAAATCGTGTATCAGTATAATATAAAATTCTCTATTTTCAGACAATGCGATGAGAGTGGAATAGTCATATCTCTAGTATGTTCAGAGACAAAGTATGTTCAGTTGTACACCTAATACATTTTATTATTTTCCAAAATAAAGAATCAATATTTATTCTAGAAAGTTGAAAGTATATTGATGAATTTTTAGAGATTTTTTGAATTATTTTGAAGAGGTGAAAAAACGAAGAGATTCTAGTGACCCTTGATAGTATGGATGAGGCACCAAACTGTACATAGTACAATAAAGGTTAATTACAAGATAAATTAAATTAAGATCTGTACGGGAATGTTAACGATAAAAGCGTAAATTAGACAGCATTAATACGAAATTTTTTTGGTGATATTAGAAATCTTAAAAACAAATTAAAAATTACAATATACTCGAAAACAAAAACATAATCCTATACATATATCCGAATATAGATAAAATATAAAAGTGCGAATATATTTAAGATAACACAACGTAAAAATTTTTTGGTTGCAATAACGTTTTGTTCATTAATATATTCCCGGTAAAAAATTTTTTATGCATGAATATGCATAAATATGTATAAACATACATAAATATTCATATAAACATGTATAATCGTATATGAAATATGTCCATACAGGTTCATACATCCTTCTTTCTTTTATAAAATTACTTTTTAGTGTAATACAAATAATGATAGTAATGTGAAAACATTAAAAAAAATTAAAAGGGTAATTTTTACACTATTTGTTTAAAAAAAAAATCAAGTTATGCATAATTTGTGTATGAGCATTTTTTTTACATTTTTCTAAACTTGTTTTTTCCTAAAACAAACAATGTAAAAATTATCCTTTGAATTATTTTTTATTTTTTCACATTACTATTATTATTTCTATTACACTAAACAGTAATTTTACAGAAAAAAGGGGTATGTATAAACATGTATGGATATGTTTCGTATATGATTATACGTGTTTATATGAATATTTATGTATGTTTATACATACTTATACATTCATGCATGAAAAATTTTTTACCAAGATCGTTATATACCAATATTAACAATAGAAACTGTGTGTGTATCATCTTTTAAATCTTTCAAAATAATAATTTGTCAAATTTGAAAAATCTTATTCTTGAAGGAGACAATACAAAGAAGAGAGAATAATTACGTTTTTCGAAGAAATGTTTTCGAACTGATAATTTCGAGAGAAGCATGTCGATTCGTATCGCGCTACAAATGTTCGGAAAATACCGCGATAACAAACCGAATATTTGATAAGAGATTACGTCAGTTGGTCTTTTATCGCTATTTTTCTGTCCATATATCGTCGATGAGATGCTTTTCTTCATTCACATCGAAAGATGATACATTTTTCATTTTGTATTAGTTAAAAAGAACATGATCAAATTTTATTACGGATTTCGGTTGGGTTCGTTCGTGTTGCATCTATGTATAGAGGAGGTCAAGGACGGCTTCGACCAAAATAGGCTTCCGTGCCTTCTTTCACTTCATCATACATATTGATATTTTGATAATCTTTTTTCCGTTTCATATGTTCGTCCCCGTTGCAAATTTTTATAAATGACGATTAACTGTAACAAAAATCAATAAATTATGCGTTTAATTTCAACTGTTCATATTGCACGAGTCGTTAAAATGCACAAAGTATATAATGCAAATAAAAATTTAGCCACAAAACCTCTCACAAGATTCTTTACGTAATGAACCGTATCCGTTTTTTCCGTGAAATGAAAGAAATTGCGATTATTCGATTACTATTGTATCTAACATAATGAAATATTATATTTAACATAATTATTACTCATAACATATGACAATAAAATATTTGAATTTAAGGGAATTATATATATTGTAAAATGTAATTATTACAGATAAAACGTTTTTTTATTAATATTATAACTTTTAATTTTGAACACTTACAAAAATCTAATACGGATATAATAGTAGTTTAATTCCAATTTAATATTAGCCAATTTATTTGATACTGAAAGAGAGTAATTCATTACTTATTTGGTATACTAAAAGTACCGATCTCTCTCTCTTTCAACAATACTCTTAATACTTAAAATAAGTAATTAATTACTGTTTTTCAGTATTGACCAGTACTAGATTTCTGTAAGGTGTCTTATAATTTTTATATTGCTTCTAATATTAATATTATAATATTAAAAGTTTTTAAAATTTTAATTTACATCTATGTATAATTTTAAAGCAACTTTTATAGAGAAAATCAAGTAATAGGGATCAGAGTTTATTGCTGATGAAATTTGATGAAGTCGACATTTTGTCGCTTAATAGAACGCATAAATAAACATATAGTAATTACTTTAGTATTAAGTGATGATAAATTTATTTATTGTTTTGCTATTTAAGTTGATACCGATAAATCTGCAAGAAAAGTTAGTGGTCGAATTATAAATTTATACGTAAAAAAATCAAATATGTCACAGTGCCCCGCACAGTCGTATTAAATGCTGAAACAAAACTGAAATGCTAAAAGAAAATATAATACACGACAATGTAAACCGCGACTAGTATTCGAGGATTTCTTTCTTCAACATGTGTCATGTCTACTTTGTCGACATATTTTCGATGTTCTCGCGGACTTCTAGGACTTCATGAGATATTTTTTTCTGATTTTAATTTGTTTAACACTTTGCTTGCCATTTCACCCATATTTGATGCGTAAAATTTAAAAGTTCTTATTGTGAATTTAATCATTCATGCAGAACAAAAAATCATGATAACATCATCAGAATATATAGCTCCAAAATGATATTAAAAGACATTTTTTATCAAATTAATTCATTTTAACATAATTTTGACATTATCATCACTTTATCGTTTTATATATAAGCAGGTTTTATTTAGTAATCCAATTAAAAATTTTATTAAATATTTAAGACATTAAAGAAAGAATATATATTGTATTATATCAAGACATTAAAAA